GATCAGGCATACTGGCCTACGTCATAAAAATAATCCTAGCACTAAAAGGCTCGACTGTAGAGCAAGAATCTGTCTCAAAATGAAATAAAATGAAGTGACATGAAATGAAATATAAGCCCATAGAATGTACCACACCAACAGAGAACTCTTAACATAAAAACAATAGACTTGGGTGATAAAGTGTAAACTGCTGGTTCAGGCAAAAGTATACAGCAATCTCTAAACTCCCTCCTCAATTCTGCTTTGAAACTAACACTACTATAGAAATAGTCTATTTTACAAATCATTAAAACTACATTGGTATTCCACTATTTGGACACATAAAAAACTATGCATCCATCTATCCATCTGTCACTTTTGCTTGAGAGCAGATACAGTCAAATCTTCAGTGCTTATGACATATAACAGATTCTGTTAGGAGTACAAACTTTCCTAAGATGAGTAAAAGTTTTCTTTTATAGTAACCCAGGGTGGTAAAGAGACTTTAAGCTTCTCTATTATGACAGAGCAGGGTTCAAACCAACTTGACCTAAGTGTCATCCTGAACAAGGCTGAATGTAGGCTTCTGTCAAAATAAGCAAAGTGCACAGGCCTCTGTACCTCTGGCCATCTTGCCTAGGTTGCTCCCCCTCCAGATGCAGCAGGCTCTTGCCCTCTCATTGTGCTTCCCGACCACTCTGGGGGCTCCACTCCCTCTTCATTCCCTGACTTCTCTGCTTCACACGCAGTCTCCACACCACTCACACACCCCCTTCCACTACCTGCAGCAGCAGCAGCTTCACCATCTTTCCCCAACCGACCCACCAGGCCCCATACTGCCTGTATTTGTTTTCTTATCCCCATTCCCACCACCTTCTAGTCAATCTGGTTCACTGCCTGTAATACCTAAAGCAAAACCCAAAAACAAAGTGTCACAAAATGTTGTTGCATGAAAGAAATGATAAAGGTCACCACAAAGTTCCAGTATTGTTTCACTAGAGACTCATGAAATTAAAGACCTTAGGATATAAAAAAGGTAGTTAATAGCCAATATTATCTTTGGAGAAGAGGCCATATAAAACCTTTAATAGAATATATATATTTTTAAAGCAGTGAGAACAACAGTATCCTCAATGGTACAATATATTTGATCAACTAGCAAAAAAAGTGAAAGAAATAATTTCTGTAAGTCTACAGGAGTGAGATCTTTTAGGCTTACTCTATAAGGTGAGATTTAAAACTTCTCTTACACAGGAAAGGAAGTCACAGAGAGGAGTGAATTTGAATCTGATTATGGATTACAACTGGATATATTATGTTTATGCTCTTCACTGCCCAGCTTCCCATCCCTAGTCAGGCATCACAACTGAAACAGGTAACTAAGTTGTACTGATTTCAATTCACTTACTTTTATAGGGGAAAGCAAAAGAATGTAATACTGTCAGAACAGTAACTATACCTTCAAAACTTTTTCTTTGTTTTTCTTTTCTTTTTTTTTTTTTTTTGGCAGAACCGGGGATTGAACTCAGGTCCCTGCGCTTGCCAGGCAAGTGCTTATTCTACTGAGTCATCTCCCCGGCCCCTAAAACTTTTTCTTAACAACTGCTTTTCTGTGTAGGAGTTTATAAGTGAATGCATTAATAATTAACATTTTTCCACCAAATATTTTAGAAGAAAAAGATTCTCTTACTGAGCCATTTCTCACCCAATCTTTGTTTCTATTAAGGTTTCTTTCCTAAATTAATACCCAAACAAGAGATAATAAAGTCAGTGCAAAAATACCTGACACATTTTCTAACATAGCATAAAAATTACCAGTGCTCCAATGTCACCTGCTTGTAATTCCACTAAGGTAGGGGGATTCCATGTTCAAGCCCAGCCTGGGTAACTTAGCAAGACACTGTCTCTACAATATAAAAAGGCCCAAGATCAAAAACCTATGCAAAAATAACAACAAAAACCTATCCATATGTTACTTGAATTAGCAAACTTTCCCTGTCAACTTATTCAATTTATTATTAGTCAATATATTAAAAAATCATTTATACAGTTTTCAGAAATGAATCATTCCCAGCCATCAGATTTAAGGCACCATTCTATGGCAACCATAGTCCTGGAAATAGGTCCATGTGGGATTCCAACTGGAAGGGCTATGGTGTGTACCGAACCCAAGAAGGGCTCTTCCTGTGTCACTGCAGAATACAGCGACAAATAGGATGGAAATCTAGAAGTCCTACAACCTGAACATCTATATCCATCTCATCTGCATACTCCCTAAGGATCTACACACCACAGCGCTTTTCATTCTATCCTCAGCAGCTGACTCTTCCTTCAATATAAACACGTGAAGTGCAATATATAAGCCACATAAAAGCAGAACTGTTGTTTGATGGGGGAAAAAAGAGGCCTAACCGAACCAGCCTAATGGGACTCTGGAATCCTAAAGGGATAAAGTAACCAAGTCTGAAAACCAATGGTCTAATGAGGATGTTGAGGATTTAATTTAATAATGATGGTCTATAAAAGAACAGTAACAATATATCACAATCTTAGCTTTCCAACAGTCTCTGAAGTACAGCACCTCTGATAAAGTATTCACCCATTTTGCTTGCAACCACAACTCTAATACCTAAGAGCATCATGGCACTCATCAACTTCAGGGGAGCTGAATAAGTACTGCTGTGGGAATGCTCTCCAAAGCAATGCAAGCGGAAGCATCCCTCATGAAACCGGGGGCTTCTTCTAACCAGTGTAGCTGCCTAACTCAAGATTTGGCCCACTGGAAGTATTTAGACAAACAATGAGGAACGATTTAACTAAATAGTATAGTCAGGGCTGGCCAAATAGCTCAGCAGATTAAAGCGCCTGCAAGCAGGTACAGGGACGGGGGTTCGATCCCCAAGCCTGCCATGCCAGCCCTACCTCTGGGGTATGCTAAAATGGCAATCGAGACTGGGCATGGTGGTGCACTCCTGTAATCCCAGCTCTTGGGAGGCTGTAAACAGGCAGATCACTATGAGTCTGATCTACTAGGAGGCCCTGAACACCCTGTAGATCTTTCCCTAAAATACAAAATAAATAAAATAAATAGTATAGTCAACAAGAAGGATTATGCTACCTGAAAAATCAGGATTTGAGAGCTTCCATATAGCTGTGCAAAAGTTACACAGTATCACAGATGGACCACCTCCAAGAATAAAAAAGGAAGTCCTAGACTCTCAGTAAAAAAAGAATTTCTAGTGTTCTACTGAGTCTTGTATACACACACAGCCTTGCACTGGAAAGTTTACAAGGTAAGCTGACTAAATGATAGAGCAGAGAAAGTTTTTGAAACGATAATGTTCTATCCATCATTTATAGCCATTATGTCTTATTTTATAAATGTTTAAGAAGTAGTGGCAATTACAGAATTCTTGTGAATTTCATTTTAATATATCGGTCCTACCAATGAAGCTTAATCTGATGAGATTTTAACTGAATTGAACAAGGATCAGATCTACTTAACAGCAGGACCAAACCGCTCATGCTGCGACCCATAGGGAGTACTTTGTAGTCACTAAAGACAGACAATAAAAGCACATTTAAGCATGTGGAAAACACTTCAGTGACACTGAATAAATATGATTGTAGAAGACTATGATGTTAATTTTGCATTTTATTTTAAAAGGTATACATACTCAAAATAAAAATGAAAGCATCTACACCAAAATATCAGTATCTCTCGGTGATGACTTCTATTTTGTTTAAACTTTTCAACATTTACCAATTACCTGTAGAGAATGAGGAAAAAATAAGCACATTTAAAACAAAAGGAAATTTTTTTTCATTGATATATATGCATACCTGAAATTCTGAGATTGGTATACAAATGCCAGGTCTGTCCTTAACAGCCATTGTGTGGCCAAATACCAGTGCCAACTTGCTTTGCTGAGGTGAGGCAGCCTAACTACTACTGGCAGCCTGGTAAGCTGGGGGAGGGGAGATACAGCCCAGGCAGCAGTGCTTGTCAGTCCTCAGGAGCCACTCAGCTTATGCCAGAACTGCCACGGCTCTGAGGAAGCCTCAACAGGATAGCCGGCCCACCTAGAATTCCCGGCTTCTAGGAAAACAAGGTCCATATCACTGTTTAAGACTGCTTTGTATGAAAAAGACGAGACGGCATACTGTATTACCTTTACAGTACAAGACTGAAGCTAACAGATTCAGCACTAAGCGTCACTGCTGCCACTTACACTCTGTCCAACATCAGACAACCGCTTGGAATCTTTCCTTGTCTACAAAAAGATTTGCTTAATGCATTCACAGTGGTGTAATCATCAAAGGTATAAGATATTTACCACAGGGCATATCTTTAGTATTCTATATTGGTAAATGGGGAAAAAGGCAAAAATTCTAAAGGACTTAGGGGAGATACAGTACGATATACACTATTCCAAAAGAAAATAGTGCATCAAAAGCCAGACATTCATTCAATGTTATAGGACAAATAAAAAAAAGCGGTGACCCTGTCTTTGGTGATAAACACTGAGGAGCTAAAAACTGAAGGCCAAAAAATTAAGTGAGCACTTAACACTCTAGCTTGCAGAGCTCAGGAGACAAGAGGTCAAAGTAAATGACTAACAGGGAACCATGCAATGCAACATAATCAGTGGCAGCCTTGATGCTCACAGGATTAGTAAAGCCAGTAGCAACTGCCAGTTCAAAGGGCGCACATTTGCTGAGCTTTACATGAACTGTTCTGCTTCCAGGATAGCAGGTAATGAGGTCTTTGGCTGGAAATTTCCTATCACCTACATCTAGCTAGAGTCAAACATCGTTACTGTCCTTCAAGGCAACAGGAAGGATTCTCAAGGGGTGAGTCAGGGCTGCTCCAGGAGGGAAAAGTGACCTCCCAGCACACCATCAGGTATAGAGAATAAGAGACAGTGCGTCTCTGAGGCCTAAGGCTGGCCTCCACTCACAGAGGAAAGCCTGACTGGACTCAAGACGGTAAAGTGGGGCCACTCTCCAACATTACATACCTCCGACAGTTATTGTTTGCATCTATGGAGAGGCTCCTTGAAAGTAATTCTCAGTACGCTCCCTGACGCAGGCTCTTATCGTGTATGTCATACGTTTCTTAACCAGACACTTCTGTGCATTCCTAAGAACTCAATGGTGTACCTGAAATAGAGGGGCAATTTCAGCTTAACAACTTCAAAACAGAAGCATAGAAAACTAAAAGAACCTCAAAAATCCATTAAAACTCATTACAGCATTAAAGACTAGAAGTCTTTAATAAGTCTAAAAAATTCACTCTTGTGGGAAGCAATTGTTCTACTTCCTGCCTTTCTGCCTCCATTTTTTTCTTCTTACTTGGCATTTTAATTTTGGGTTTTTTGGGTTTTTTAACTCTCATAAAGTATACATAAATATAAAACTCCTTCTGCCTTTTCTTAATTAAAGACTAAGTTTTTATCACATAGAAATGTTCCTCCTTTTATATATTTACCAACTATCCTAACTAACCAATTATCACAGATTAATCATAGTGTTTTGGGGGACCTGCCGCTAGCTCAGTTGTTTTAGCACCTGCTCATGCCAACACTGTCAGGTGCAGGATACGACGGTTCGACCCTCAGCTTCACCTGCCTTACCAGACCTGCCCTTCAGGCAGCCCGAGCCACCAAAAAAACAAATTAAAAAAAAAAATCATAGTGTTTCAAACTAAAAAGGATAACTATCAAGGATAACTACCTTTTCTCAAGCTGACGTATAAAAAGTGATTTTTCTCTCAGAGGCCAGAAAATTATGCCTATAGGTGATACCTTTATATTTGTGTGTTTATAAATGAATGTATACATAACCAGGAAGCTATAAGTAATGTTTTACACTTCAAACAGAACAGAGAATTATTTATTTATAACTTGTCCTTTATTCATAACTTGTATTTATATGTGAAAGAATGTATAATCTATTGGTAGCAACAAAGGCAGTAGCTTTTGATAGTATTTAATCAGCAACGTTCATTTACTCTTTCTCTATAAACTGTAAGAAGTAGACTTTCAATTTTTACACTAAAAATTAAGCCTACATCATTGAATATCTGATGAAAACTAAGGCTGTCCCTTTCCCCTACTCATATTTCACGGACTCCTTGAAGCCATCCCTGGGCAGATGAAGTCCTAAGGGACTCTGAACAAAATAACTGGCATCTTGGGCAAACAGGCATGATTCTATAAAGAAACAATTTTCAGAACAGAAAAAAATCATCCCTTTGCTAGTTCTACAGAACCTAGTTATGCCAAACAAGCCCTCACTTAATAATTTTTATCCTATCTATAGGAATCACACTACTTTTGTAAATAATCAAATATAGTCACCAAAAGCAATAGTTACAGGTTTTTTGTTGTTGTTTTCAATACCAGGGATCAAACTTGGGACCTTGCGCTTGCCAGGCAGGCACTTATGCCACTGTGCTGTATCTGCAGCCCTATAGTATTTTTAAAAACTCAAAATAATGAGGTTCTCTTGCCATCAATTTAAAAGTATTCAATTGAAGCTTCAAATAATATACTCACATATTAAAAAAGAAAAATATGTCCTAATCATCCCAACATACAGTTTATAAAGCTAAGGATTTGGAGAGAGAGATTTCCTTAAATTCAAAACCTCAAGTCTCATATTGTTTCATATAATAATAATCTGTTTGTTTTGGAAAATGAAATAATGTTTGGAAAGCAAACTTCATTAACACGTGCTTTGAGTGGACACTGGGATCTGGTCAGCTAGTTATCAACAAGGAAGCAAAGCAGCTGGCACATGTCCCCAATCCCAGCACCCTGGCAGGCTGTGGCAGAAGGATCACAGCTACTAGTCCAGCTAGCACAACTTGGCAAGATCATGTTTCAAAATAATAAAATAAAAAAGGGGTGGGAGTACAGCTCAGTGCGAAGGCCCTGGTTTCATCCTCCCATTACCACCACTCTCATTAAGAAGACAAATTAATTTACATGCTTTTGGTGGGTGCATCTAACAAGAAGAATTAGGGAGGACCAGTGTCTCAAGAACATTTAAGTTTAAAATGCAATACAAATTTGGCACTTATAGATGCCTAACAAAATTAGATCTTTTATTTCCATTTTCTTCTAACTCCACATAAAAATGATAAGAAAGAAAAACATGTGCATCCAGAAGGCAAAAGGAACAGAAAAGTGCATCAGTGAAGACAACGAACACCCAGGGTATTTTGCAAGCTGTATGGAGAGCAGAGATGACTGCCTGCAGGGCCTGTGGAGCACACAAAAAGCCAAAGGAATTCAGGGTTTCCAAAAGCCTCAGGAAAGGGGTTTCCACGGGCTCAGGTGGGGTAGAGGGGAGACTGAAAAAAGCAGGTTTGTAAAAACGCACCCTTTTCTTATATATAAAAACCACCTCAAAATAAAGAACTGAAAGATATGAAAGTATAAAATTCCTAGGAAAAAATAGAAAAGCTTCATGACATTGGATTTCACAACTGATTTTCTTACTTATGACACCAAAGCACAAGTAATAAAGATAAAATAAGTTACGTATCAATTATAAAAGCTCCGGTACAAGCCTGAGTACTGTGGCCAGCAGAGACTGGAGAGGGCAAGCTTGAGGCCAGTAGGGCCCCTCAGTTAGACTCTAGCTCAAAGTTTTACAAATGACTAGAGGTATAGCTCAGTGGCAGAGCACAGAGAGTCCAATCACTAGTACTTCAAAATAAATAAGTAAATAAACATGCATATATAATTAAATAAGCAGAGGTGGGGATACAGCTCATTGGTATTGAGCCCCTGGTTTAATACCTAGTGTGGCAAGTAGAAAGGAAGGCTCTATACAGCAAAGCAAACTGCCAACAGAGGAGAAAAGACAACATACAGCACAGGAGAAGACATGTAAAGACTGTGCATCTACGTTAGGCATTAATAACCGAATATACTCTAAAATTCCTACAATTCAACAAGAAAAAACACAACTCAATTAAAAGAACAGCCAAAGGACCTGAATGACCATGTCTCTGAAGACGAAACACAAATAGTCAATATGCACATGAAAAGACGCTCAACCCCACTGATTACCAGGAAAATGTGAATCCAAGCCACACTGGGATATAATCTCTCATAACATACCCCACAGCACTACCAAACCACAGAAAATCATACATGCTGCCAAGGTTATAAAGAAACTAGAGCTGCTGTACACTCTTGGTAGAAATGTAAAACACACATTGACTACAGAAAACAAGAAGTTATGCAAAATATTAAAAGCACAGCTCCCATACGACCCAGCAGTCCTACCTCTGATGTGAATCTGAAAGATCTGGAAGCAGAGGCTTGAAAAGGTATTTGTTTGCATATCACATTGTTCCCTATGGCATTATTTACAAGAGCCAAGAATAGAAGCCACCTAAATATTCACTGACTGACAGCCTCCACGCCTAAAAACAAAAGAGGAAATCACTCTATGTTACAACATGGATGAACCTTGAGGTCATTACACCAAGCAAAACTGGCCAATCACCAAAAGACAAATACTGCATGATTCCACCTTTGACGAAGTAAGAAACAAAATTACCACTGCCAGGGGCTGCGAAGAGGGAAAAGCTATTTTCTGTGGGTTTAGAGTTTCATTTTTTCAAGATGAAAAAGTCTTAAAAGATATTTTGCACAACAGCCTATATATCATTAAAATTTACTGTTCTGTGCACTGTATATTGTTAATGCACTATATTTTGCTAAGTGGTTTTTACCACAGTAAAGAAAAAATGGGATACCTGGGTAGGCCCAATGTAATTACAGGTTCACAGAAGTGGAAAAGGCAGGCAGAAGAGCAGGTCAAGATAATGCAATGGGAGGGGCCAGGGAGATAGTTCAGTAGAATAAGCACCTGCCTAGCAAGCCCAGGGTCCTGAGTTCAATCCCCAGTATTGAAAAAAAAAAAAAAAAAAATTGGCAATGGAAGGACACTTTACCTGTCACTGCTGACTTTAAAGGAGGAAGAGGGCCTCGAGCCACAGAAGCCAGCCCGCCTCCAGAGCTGCACTCTCCTTCAGAGCCTCCAGGACAGAACGCTGCCCGTCAGCAGGCACCGTGATTTCAGGATAACGAAACCAGAGTTGGCCTTCTGACCTACAGAACCGCTCCCATAACAGAACGGTGCTGTTTTAAGGAAAAAGCAAAAGCAAAGGCACTTTTTCCCACCTAGCACAGCCAGGCATACCATCCCTATTCCCCTAAAAGGGAGCAGGTACTCTGGAGAAAATGGTATGGCCACACTTCAGACTCAGGGATGCCCAAAACAGCTGTCACAGTCTCATTCAGACCTAGCCGTTACTTTTTACCATCTCACTCCTAAATATGAGTGTACTACCATTTATTTCAGAAAAACCTTTAGCGTTACTATCACAAATCAAAACAAGAAAATAAAATATTATGAACTAAAAACAGCAAAGAAAAAAGACTAAAACAGCAGAACAACTCCTATTTTCAAAGTAAATGGGCTGTAAGATAAAAATCAGACATTATTTTTTTAAAATATTCAGTGGCCTAAAAAAATTAAAATATTAAAAATATGCTAGGTAAAATTAAAAATCTGACAGACACTAAGAAAACATCTCAGAAAGTAGAAAATATGAAGATGGAAGAGTAAAGAAAAAAAAAGTGAAAGGATCAAATTAGTAGGTGCAAACATCCAACTTATACACTAGTCAAAAACAGAAAAAAAGGGTGAGCTTCCCGCTACCCGGCACCAGCGGGACCTACTACTGGTCCCAGCCCAGGCGCAGCGTGGGTGAGACCCTCTTCTACCCACTTAGGACAGCCCCCATAACTCTGCAGCACCTCCTCCACCCCGCCCGTCGAGTAGGAATTTCTGCCTCATTCTGGGAACCACCAGACCCAGTCCTAGCCCGGGTCCAGTGAGTGTGTGGGAGAGCTTCCAACAACCCTGCGCCGGCAGGACCTATTACTGGTACCAGCCCAGACGCAGCATGGGTGAGACCCTCTTCCAACCCCTTGGGATGCTCCCCACCACTGCGCAGCACCTCCCCCACCCCACCCGCCAGTAGGAATTTCTGCTGTGTTCCAGGAACCCCCCAGACCCAGACCTGGCCCAGAACCAGTGAGTGTGTGGGAGAGCTGCTTCTGCCCGCTACTCCA